TTCCTCTGGGAGTACATTTAGTCGCTCCTGCCCATGCTTGCTTGCCCCATTTGACTGAGCTCCTAGGGCAGGGGCTACCTGCCTTTCTTTGCATTCTCAGTACTCAGCAGGATGCCTGGCATGTGCATAATATGTTGACTTGACCACCTGGCTTTTAAAGTCCTTTCCAATCTGACTCCAGCCAACCTCTCTGGGCTCGTCACACCTTATTCCCGACTCTTTCACATGTGAGATGTTGCTGCCAGACCGACCTCCCTGCTGTTCCCGTGTCTTTGCACAGGTCCCTCCATCCCTGGCCTTCGAACCCTCCTCACCCCAGTTTAGCTTCTTTCAAAACTCACCTCAAGGGCTACCTCCCCTTGCCTTCGGGCACATGTACAAAGTGCTTAATATCTTTGTGGAATATATCGAGTAGGGAGCCAGATCAGGTGATGTCAGAATTATGGGGTCTCTCTATGTGACCTCATACTGGTCTCTTGGTCTGTTTTCTCACCTGTACCTCACAGGGTCATTGGAAGGAAAACGTCCCTACAACCTAAAGCAGTACAGAAATCGGTGTTCCCAGGGTGGCATCCTTGCCCCAAAGCATACTTAGTTACGACTGTGTTTCTCAGCATCTGCAGTTGTGTTGGGGCTCACATCTTCAGCTCAGAGGAGGGGACAGCCTGTGTTTGGTTTGCTTTCGAAAAGGCTAGGCTTAGCAGTGCACTTGATTGCAGTTGGGTACTGGATTTCAGCTGCTGGTTGAGTTAGTAATTCACCTTCCGAACACACAGAAGGTAAACAAACTCCAGGGTCAGAATGTTTAGGTATTGGATCAAACCTGGAGGTCCCTTACCCAGGCTGCTTTTTTGTATCCGTGGTGGGAGCCAGGAAGAGGGAGCGAAAGGTCAAGGCGACAAGGGGAGGGGGTGCGTTTCCTCAAGACACTAGTGGTCTCCAGTCTGATTCTACAGCTCATCAATCTCTATCTGGAAGGATCCAGACTATAAGCTCCTTGAGGGCAGGGCCTGTCTTTTCCCTCTTTTTGTATTCCCAGCACTTAGTAAGGTGCCTGGCACATGTTTAGTAATTGAATAGACTGTGGTATGACTGCAGAAGGACATTAAAAACACACACAGAGGAGCCAAAAGGATGTGGGGCAGGCATGTAGGGAGATTGAAGGATAAAAGAAAAACAGGCCCAGGGCTGGCCTGGGACTGACCTTCTCTATGGAAGAGAGGCGCTCGGAAAGCACGGATGGGTTGTGATCTGCAACAATGAAGGGCGTAATCGTGCAAGGAGATCATCTACCCATCCAGAACCTCCTGGGAGAAGTCTCCTGACCTTGGATGGACACAAGCTAAGGAGGGAAATGGGCTATCTCAAGAGGTAATGTGTTCTCCCTTACTTGGTGTTTCCAAAATGGAGAACGGCTGCGAGATGTTATCAGGAATGCCCGGATCTCTGAGATCCTGACACTCACGATCCTCAGAAGTGGAAAGAGAATTCTCTTTTTAGAGTTAAGGGGCGAATGAAAGCCTATCAGCTGTGTTAAGCACACTGGCTCCCAATCACATGGTGAGTGGACAGTGTTCAAAGACTTGGCCCTGGATCTCAGGGGATGGATGTGCAAACCTCCGAAGACTAGAAAAACAGGAGCTCCCATCAAGTCATTTCAAGTTGAGAAAACGGGGAAATCGAGGGAGACCCAGACTGGCCCCAGGCCTCGCGCCAGTTTAGTGCAATTCGGAGGTTCTCCCTCTGAATCTCATCTGCTGTCGGGGCTGGCTGACGGGTCTTTAATCTAATGGCTCTTTAATGAGCTGTGTAATCCCGGGCAAGTCACAAACTCCGGGAGCTTCCCAATCCTCCCCTCCCAAAGGGCCTTTGTGAAGACGGCACTGGATCCTGCCCTTTCCCGTGCTTTGGAGCTCGGAAGCACTTTACGTGTCAGCTAATGTCTCTCAAAGTAACAGGAGTGAGGACGATAACTTGGATTTCCACTTTCACTCTCCTTTCCTTAAGAACTTCTTGTCAAATTTCTGCAAGGCAAACAAGTGTCTATCAATTACCGTCAGATTCAGTTTCAGGTTCTGTCCCTTAAGGAGATCCTCGGGAATGGACCTGGCCAGGTCCCCTCTACACCCCTCGGAGTGGGGAGGATCATGGCATCACAGATTTAGAGCTGCCCCTCCACTTCCTGGAGGCATCCCTCATGTGGAGTCCAAGGACCTGGGTTCTAAACCCACCTCTGCCACTTAGCCCGGTGTTGCTGACCTGGGCACTTCACCTTTGGATGAGTTGGCCTGGGTGGGCTCTGAGGTCCCTATTGCCGCCTCCCCCCCAGCACTAGCTATCCTCAGGGCCCCCATCTTCATCTGAGTTTCACAGGGCAAGCTGGAGACCCTTCATGCGCCCGGGGGCCTTCCCAAGACACTATTCATCAAGAGCGGCTCCCCAGGACCGCGCCTCAGGCCAGATGGGTCACCTTTGCTGTCCTTGGCTTCCACGGACGTTGTAGCTTCACACAGACCTTGGACTACACTAAGCTCTCTCTCTTTCCTAGGTGTGGTGGCTCCCCATGGTGTCCTAATAAAGTGACTGGAGCCAAGGGCATGCCAAGTGAACTTATCCCTGTCCAATTTCATTTTCGAGGAGTCGACCCAATGTCACCGCCTGTCAATTCTCTTTTTTTGGATCCCGTCGGTGACTCTCAAAGCCATGGCAGAATAGATCTGTTGGCTTTCTGGGGAAAATGTGGAATTAGTGGGTGGGGAGTGGGGACGGACTTACCGAAGCGCCCCCTCCCCCATCTCTCTACACACACACACACACACACACACACACACACACACACACACACACA